AGAGTAGAGCCAAGGTGGATGGCAGGGCCTGGGTAGCAGAAAGTGTCTTGGCCAGCAGGCCAGCTGTGGGGCCAGGCCAAGAGCATTCCTCCCTGGGCTGCTCCGTCTCTCGCTCACCCACTTGCTGGCTCCTGCAGCCTCTGCATTGCAGCAGCAGGAGCCCGCACGGTAGCCCTGCAGGCTGGGCTGGAGCAAGGGCCTGGGCAGGGGGTGTGTGACTGCCTGCCCCCTCCCTCTCAATTTCCCCCCCTCCTCTGGCCTTAAACCTGCCAGTCCTGGCTTTCCTTTAAGGGACAACTGCTGAGGTGACACTCTCTGGGACCAACTTGAGGCAGGGCTAGAGTGGAGACAACCCCAGGCATGGGGACTGTTAAGTCCCTGAGTCCTCTCTGCATCACACTCCTCCCTCCTCAGCCTCATTCAGTGTCTTGCCTGTACTGGGAAAAGCTGTTTTGAAGACTTAGGGTTTTGCAGCTGAAAGCAGACTTTGGATCTCAGTGGCCTGGATTCACATCCCAGCCCTGTGACTGCCTGTGTGACCTGGGACAGGTTGCTTAACCTTTCTGTGCTTCAGTTTTCTCATTTGTATAATGGGGCTAACAATAGATTGGACCTCGGGAGAACTGACGTGTGTCGCCACCTGGAGGTGTGCCTGCAGCATCATCCTCCAGCTGCTATTACTGCCGACCTCTCAGTCAGCGTGATAGTCTCGTCATCAGCTCTGCTGCTTGGCTGAGCCCTCCCTGACATAAACTTTATTTTGCTTAAGCAAACTTTCCCATCAGGCACTCCCCAACTCCCTGCTGGCACTTGCTATACTGGCAAGGGCTTTACTTAACAGTGTGGAGCCCAAGGTCTGGAACCAGACCGTCCTATGTCCAGATCCCAGCTCTGCTACTCACCAGCTGTGTGATCTTGGGCAAGTTATTTACTTCTCTGGGCCTCAGTTTCTCCATCTGCTAAATGGGGGTGACACTAAGCCAGCACATGGTACGAACACAAGACAGGGGTGTTAGGAAGGACTGTGCTACATAACTATAATTATTGGGCGCTTGCTGTGTGCCAGGTATGAAATGAAGAGGTTGGAATTCAGGTCCTGACTTCACATAATGGCCCAAGTCCAGCCTGGGCCTTTGTCAGTGAAGTGATACAGGGGTACTTTTTGCCTCTCCCTGCCTCAGTTTCCCCAACTGTAAATGGGACTGTAGAAACACCAGCCTCATGGAATCATGTGGGGTTCCTATCACTTCAAAACGTGGGTAATTCACCCAAAATTATAGGGGAGAGGGTCTCTTAGATTGCCCCCCCCTTGCCAGTAAAGCCTCCTGGTGTGGCATGCATTTTACCCCCACAGAGGGTGTAGTCAGGGCAACATAGCCACCACAGATGGAAATACCTAACTGCTGCCTAAGGTCAAGCTTCCAAGCACACCCCAGCCCGGCCCCAGCTGCTCCCTGCTCTCCACCTCAGCCACCGGGCCCACTTCCCAGGGTGGCCCTGCAGCTCCTGGGGTCTCCACACCCTGGCTGACTAGAGGATCCCATAGGAGGGATTGTTGAGGGAAAAACCCAAACCCATGTTCTCCATCCGCTCATGGAGAGAAGAACACAGCTCTCCCTCGCTGTATGTTCCTTCCCCATGTCTCTGCTTCTGCTCACACAAGTGCTTCACCCTGACACCCCACTGCTGTCTCCTAGAGGTGGCAGCTTTGCCCTTAGCCCAGCAGTTCTCCACACACCAATCGGTATCTGGCATTAGACTCAGTTCTGATGCTGTCGATGATAGCATCGACTCCACAGATGAGGGCTCGGACCAGGAAATGGGGGTGCAGGTCAACCTGGACTGGAGGAGAAGATTCTAGAGATTTTTGTTTTTAATACATATTAAGAGATGGGATGAAGGCCAGAGGTATGGGTGAGAGAATTCACCAGAGACAGAGTGGGAGCAGAACAGACCATACTACTGAAATACACTGCTGATGGGAGCAGCAGGGAGACCAGAGAGGGCTGCTACACCATGTGGATCACTTCTGGGACTGGGCATCAAACTTGCACTGAAGCAGCTGCAGCCACCTTGCAGTGCTGTGTGCTAACCCGTTGTGCCACGAGGAAGGGCCTGATTCCAGAGAGTTCTAAGCAGATGTGAAAGTCCTTGAGTTGCTGTAGGACCTGAAGCCACCCCCACATCCTTCAAATCCCCTCTTGGTCTGAGAGGGTAAAGGTTTATTTGGGGAGATCAAAGGCCTGATTTGAGGAGGAGGGTGATGACTAAACATTTATTAATCACTCACTGTATATGGTGATAATGATCAGCAGCAATTATCATGTGCCCAGAAATGATGTGCTGGCATGGGGACTCATACTAACACTTTACGAAGGAGAAGGCCAGTCCAGAGGAATTAGTAATGGCCGTGGGATAGTAAAGACGGAGACCACCTGTTGCCTCTCTGTTTACCTCAGCTTCATCTGCAGTGTCCTCCAGACCCCCTCCTTCACCTCTCTGGCCGTGTGGGGCCTCTTGGTCTCCCACCTGCTTCAGGGCTCTGGAGTTTTCCCAGAGAGCCAAATGGTGGACTCCCACCTCTTTCAAGTCTTGCTCAAGTATAAATCTTCCCAGTGAGGCGTTTCCTGGCACCCCTGTTTGAAATTACCTCCTCTCCTGTACCCCCTCTCCCATCAATGTTATATCATCTGTTGACTCCACAAACAGTCCTTAACCATGGAAGCTTCACAACACCCTGTGAAATCCATACTTCCATTACTGCCACTTTACAGACAAGGAAACAGGCCCAGAGAGGGCAAGTGACTTGCACGGGGTCACACAACCAGCAAGTAGCAAACCTGAACCCCTCGCCCTGATGCTCGCTGTTGCCCCTATAGGTCTGGCCTCGCCTGGTGGACAATGGCCTTGCCCCCATGAGCTAGAACCTGCCCCTCAGCACCTGTCCGCCTCCAGCCTGCAGGATGCAGCTGTGGAAGGCCGTGGTGGTGACGCTGGCCTTCATGAGTGTGGACATTGGTGTGACCACAGCCATCTACGTCCTCAGTCACCGGGACCGCAGCCTGCTGGAGGACATCCGCCATTTCAATGTCTTTGACTCGGTGCTGGACCTCTGGGCCGCCTGCCTGTACCGCAGCTGCCTGCTGCTGGGTGCCACCATTGGCGTGGCCAAGAACAGTGCCCTGGGGCCCCGGCGGCTGCGGGCCTCATGGACGGTCATTGCCCTTGTGTGCCTCTTTGTGGGCATCTACGCCATGGTCAAACTGCTACTCTTCTCTGAGGTGCGCAAGCCAGTCCGGGACCCGTGGTTCTGGGCCCTCTTTGTGTGGACTTATATCTCGCTCGCTGCCTCCTTCCTTCTCTGGTGGCTACTGTCCACCGTGCGGCCGGGCACCAAAGCCCTCGAGCGAGGTGCAGGTGCCGAAGCCGAGGCTTTCCCTGCAGAGGGCCAGCGCCCACCTGAGCAGGCCTCGGGGGCCACGCTGCAGAAGCTGCTGTCCTACACCAAGCCCGATGGGGCCTTCCTCGTGGCCGCCTCCTTCTTCCTCATCATTGCAGCTCTGGGTAAGTGAGGTCTTCAGGGTCTAGCAGGACTCAGGAAGAGGGGTCCTCTTTCCTACAATATTTTTAACATTTTACTTAGCTGGCCAAAACCGCAACAGATAAATATTGACAGTCATACTCCTAATTCTGCCCCTGGCTTTCCTTATCCCCTTATCTAGGACCAACTTCAGGAAAGTGTTCTAGAAACTTCCAAGTGGCCCCAGGTCCACCTTTACTCACTTTTTGTGTATTCTTTTAATATTTCCTTACCCAGCTAGAGCAGATAACACATTACCCCTCTTATCTCTAATGTTGTATCTTGTCCCTCGCTTTCTTTACTTAACAATTTATTCAGCAATTTTCCCAACCAACATTTCTTTTTATTTGACTTCATAGAATTCCCCCAGACTAGTCTGTATCCAGCTGGACTCATGGGCTATTCTGATTCTTTTTCTTTTATAACAAGTAATCACAACCATATAAATTCCTATAATTGTGGGTCAATTCCTGGGGGTGGGATCACTGGGTGGAAACATTCTTTATCATGAAACAAAATAGGATATGTGATCTAGTGAGGTCACGTATCATTCATCTCAAGTTCTGTTGGCCTACCCTCAACCTGTTGACTGTTTTCACATTTGCTATGTATGTTTGTGCACATGTGTCCTGGTTTATGATATAGAATGTACATGTGGTCCCAGCAGTTTGAAAGCATCAGTCCGCCAGTCAGCAGCTTGAAAGCATAAATCCCCATCTGGGCGTCTCCGCTGGCTGTGTGACCGTGGGCTGGGTACCTTTCTAAGTCTCCCTTCCTTCTTCTGTGAAAGGGGATCATTAGTGTTGTGATTTCATAGCATTGAATATAAACAGGAGAAGCGCAGGCATAGAACTTGATTCATCACAGTAAATATGAAGGAATATTAGCTGGGTTGCATCTGGACGTCCTGGGGACAGAGTCCAGGAATGGCCACCAAGCTAGAGAATTCTTAGTGAGGACAGGCGGAGCCTGAGCTTTTCCAATTCTGTGGGCCCTTTCCTCTTCCTGCCCAGCCTCCATGCCTCAGTCTAGCCCCTCCCTGGATCGCAGTCTCCTCAGCTGTACAACGAGCATAATGACCGTACCCCTCACTTGAGCTAATGAGGTTCAGCAGGTTCATAGCGAAAAAACCTTGGGCAGCTCCCTGCGCTCAGAAAGGAGCTCCCAAGAAATATTGGTGTTTCTCCTACTTCTGCTTAAGGTACAGATGTCCCCTCCTTAGAGAAGACATCTCAGGTTCTGCTGGCCTGACCCTGTGCCTCAGCTATAGCACTGTTGACTTTAAAACCACAAGTCAACTCTGCTATCCCCCTACAGGAGCCAGGACAGACTCACCCTGGTACAGAAGTGGAATGGTAGGCTGGCGGGCTGGTGGGCTGGCTGGCTGGTAGGCTGATGGGCTGGCGGGCTGGTGGGCTGGCGGGCTGGCTGGAGAGTGAACGAATGGATGGGTGGGTGAGTGTACAAATGGACAGGCTTGTCCCAGCATGCAGGATTGTGTCATGTTCAAGCTTCAAATGTGAGATTAGGCCCCCAACTTCACTGAGAATTTGTCGAGTTAACTGAAACTGAGCAGCCTTTCCATCTTGAAATGGGGACTCCATGGGGCCACTGAAAAACATTAAATGCAATAAAGCACAGTGCCTGGCATCAGTAAATACCATAAAAGTTAGATTACTTGATTATTAATAATAGTTTTTTCATCAATAAGCATTCAGCAGGACTCAGTATTTTTCTGAATCCTCAGAGTCTAAAAGAAAAACGGCCATGGGGACCCTCCCTGTTGGTGCAGTGGGTTAAAGCGCAGCACTGTGAAGCTCTTCACAGTCACTGCAGCATGACTTCAATTCTCAGCCAGGGAGTTGACCCACATGGCACAGCAGACCTCTCCTGTCTCGTCCACTGCTCCCCTCAGTAGTGTACTTCAGTCAAGCCTGTTCTACTCCCCACTCTGACTGTGGGGAATTCTCTCACCCCCTGCACCTCTGGCCTGTACCCCAATTCTTGTATGCATAAATTTAAAAAAAAATCTGTAAAAAAAAGAAAAAGAAAGAAAAAATGCCATTGGGGTAAAGATTAGTTTCAGGGTTCAGTATTAAATGGGATTTTTTTTTTAAGATTTTTTTTTATGCTTACAGAATTGGGGTATAGGCCAGAGGTGCGGGGTGGTGTGAGGATTCACCAGAGACAGAGTGGAGAGCAGAACGGGCCAACTGACAAAGTACACTGCTGAGGGGAGCAGCAGACGGGTCAGAAGTCTGCCATGCCAGGTGGTCACCTCCGGGGCAGATGGGGATCAAACTCATGCTGAAGCGGCTTTAGCTTCTTAGTGCTGTGCTTTAACCCGCCACTCCACCAGAGGGGCCCTAAATGGGATTTTAAAGATTGACTTATTGATAGATACAAGAGCTGGGGTGCAGGCCAGAGGTATGAGGGATGAGAGGATTCGCCAGAAACAGAGTGAGGAACAGAACAGGCAGGTCTAATGAAATACACTACTGAGAGGAGCAGCAGGTGAGACAAGACATCTGCTGTATCATGTGGGTCAGCTCCCTGGCTGGGGATTGAAATTGTGCTGCAGTGACTCTGAATAGCTTCATAGTGCTGAGCTTTAGCCCATTGCATCACTAGAGATCCCTTAAATGGGATTTTTTTTTTAATGGGATTTTTAAAAAAAGATTTATTTATTTGTGCATACAGAACTGGGTCACAAGCCAGAAGTGCAGGGGCAGTGAGAGTATTCACCAGAGGCAGAGTGGCAGAATAGGCAGATCAATGAGGGGAGCAGCAGGGAAACAGGAGAGGTCTGCTGGGCCATATGGATCATCTCCAGGCCCAGGGATCCAACTTGCACTGAAGTGGCTGCGGCTAGCTTGCAGTGCTGCATCCTAACCCATTGTGCCACCAGGGAGGGCCCCTAAATGGGATTCTTAAACCTGGATTTTACAGCAGCACAACTGTATGAATTTGGGAAAGTGCTCTCTGCACCTTGTTTCCTCATCTGTAAATGGGAATAATAGTAATACCATATATATATAATTATTGGGGGCATTTGAGACTCAAAAGAAATGAGAGAACAGATATTCAGGATAATAGCACTCCAGGTAGCAGAAACAGCATGTGCAAAGATCTTGAGTCACGAAGATGCCTCCTTGGTAGAGGAATTGACAAGAGGCCCATAAGACTGGAGATGGTGAGTGAGGGGGAAGTAGAGAAGGCAGGCAGGTCAGATCAGGCCATGCAGGTTGCTCTCAGCTACAGATTCTAACTCCAGATGGGATGGGAGCCAGGGGCTGTGCTGACCTGGAGGGTGCCAGGTCTGGCTTCAGTTTCGTAGGGCCTTGCAGTTTCCTGGTGGGAGGAAAGGGGCAGCGGGAAGGGTCAAGAGTTGACTGCTCAGATCATCCAGGCAAGATTGGCAACCTGGACCCTTGTGAGGGTCGAAAGCACAGCAAACTGGGGTCAGATTCTGGAAATACTGGAGTCTCAGGACTGGCTGATATCTGGTGTCCTTGTGGCTCTTGTGCAGCTTCAACACGGTTTGCAATGCTGAGATAGCACCAGCCAGGGCTCAGTATGATCAAGTGCTGGTGGAGCTCACCAAGATCCTTACTCTCCTTGTAGGTAAACTGGAGCACAACTTCAGCTAGTGTGGGGTTCCTACCGTGGTGGAGCAGGGAGCAAGTCCCCTAGACCTGGTGCCTGCACCAGCAGAGGGCGCCAGAAGCCCACCCGGTTGAACCTGCCAGGAAGGCCTGACCTGGCTGGGAAGGGACAGACCTGCCCCAGATTCAGTCAGACTTGTCAGGCGCCTATTGTATGCTGAACACTGAGCCAGGTAGTGGAAAGAGCTGCAGTGAAAACCGGGGTCATGGCCTGGCCTGGCCCAATTCCATTTCGTGTTCATCATTTCCATAAAATGAGAGTAGGCATTCCAGATCACTGGACAGAACAGGACAGGGTTTGAGTCCTGGACCTCCCTCTTACTTGCTGACCTCAGGCAAATTGCTCAGCCTCTCTGGGTCTCCCCTACCACCTCTGGGAATTGGGGATAACATCCCCTCTTCCCGCTTCTGCCCGGAATGGTAGTGAAAAAAGAAGAAATAACCTGGTAAACTGTAAAGTGCCCCACAAGAAGGGCGGGCTGGCAACTCCAGAATTCTTTGGAAACAGAATATCAATGTTCTGAGGTTCAAAACTCTGAACCTTCTGCCAAGGAGAAGTAGGTAAACCTTGAAGTCCACCTGGCAGCCACTGATTGTATTTCCAGGCAGTTGTCATGTCGCCTTCTTAGTCTTATGTCCCTCATCTATAAAATGGGATAACAGTGGACCACCCAAGGAGTCTGCGGCAGAGGGCCTGTGTTCTCAGCTCTGTGCCTTGTGTGGGGGCATTAAGGGTTGTACAGGAAGGCCCAAGGCTTCCTGCACCAAATTTGATGAGTGAGAGAACCGTGTCAGTAGGGAAGCAAGATGGGTTATCGTGGGCATCTGGAAGCTCAGGAGGATGGGGGCATGCCTCCCAGCTGCAGATCCCTGACCCACCCGTCTCCTGGCAGGGGAGACCTTCTTACCCTACTATACCGGCCGGGCCATCGATGGCATTGTCATCCAGAAGAGCATGGAGCAGTTCAGCACGGCCGTCATCATCATGTGTCTGCTGGCCATCGGCAGGTAGCCAGACCCGGCCCCCTGCCCCCACCCCGTCCCCACCCAGGCCTGCAGCTGTGAGGAAGTCGGAGGTCATGGGCCAGCTTCCAAGGGGAAAATTCTAAGATGTGCCCCTGGGAGGTGCCCCGTTGCCACGGCAAATGGCACCCAGACAGGCCTAGAACCTGTGTCCGATTGGTGGGGCCTGTTCTCAGCTACACTCTAGAGTCCCTAAAGTGGTGCCAGTCCTCCAGGTTCCCCTTTCTTCCTCCCTGGCTCTTTTCCAAGCAGGAGACAAGAACCAGCCTTGCCTGTGCTTTTCTAGATGGCAGAGGTGTGCAGCTGCAAAAAGGGGTCCCTCATCCCCACTAGCACAGTCCCCTCTGCCCTCACCCCGGGGTCTGCAGCTAGGGAATGAGAGAGACTTCTGTGGTGCCAACTCCGGCAGGGCTGCCGCTTGGGGTGGTGGGCTTCAGTGTGAAAGGACACCGTGGAAGGGTGTGGAAGGGCTGGCTGGGGAAGGACGCCATGCCACATATAACACCTCTTATCTGCAATCAGCTCGTTTGCCGCAGGTATTCGGGGCGGCATTTTTACCCTCATATTTGCCAGACTGAACATTCGCCTTCGAAACCGTCTCTTCCGCTCACTGGTGTCCCAGGAGACAAGCTTCTTTGATGAGAATCGCACAGGTTGGTCCTCCTGGGCCCCGGGTGACAGGGGCTAGGCCCAGCCAGGAGGGCTACCTGTGGAGAGGGATCAGTGGGCTGCTTTGTCACCTAGGCCCACTGGCTTTTCTGGCATCCAGTTAGAGTGGAAACACCCCTGAAGCTGGCTTGGGCCTCAGACTCTGCCCAAGCCTGGGGAGCTGGCCTGCTCGCTGAGGTTTTGGTGGAGGTGTGGCCACTGTCGGAGACTGGCCAGGCCAGCCTAAGTCCTGTGAGGGCCAAGACCTGGCCTGCCACTGCTCTCTGGGCACCACAAGGGTCAGGACAGCCCAACCCTGTGACCTGAGAGCTGAGCCTCTGACGGGGTGAGCAGGATGGGGTGTAAAGCAGAGCAGAGCAGCAACCTAACATGTGGCTAAGGTCCCAGGTTCCAAACAGACCAGCCTGGGTCCAGCCCTGGGGCGGCTGATTTGACCTCCCTGAGCCTCAGTTTTCTCCTCTGCAGTTGGTAAGTGGGTGATGCTCTTTTCCCCACCACCGCTCCCCCATCCCAGACCCTTCTCTATGAGGGAAGGGGACTGAGACCCTGTGTCAGGGACAGGCTATAGATGTGGCTTTGGCTCTGGCTCAGTCACGGTCAAGCCATGTGGCACTGAGCTGGGATGCACAAAGCTCAACGAGGTGCAGGTGATCCAGGGGTGGGAGTTGGGCTTAGAGCAGGCCTTTTATTCCTGGCCGGAAGGTGGGGTTGGAAGCCCCACAATGTCCCCCATACCCCACCTCCACAGTGCCCCGTTGCCACAGTGCAAGCTGAGCTGCCTATGTTCCAGGGGACCTCATCTCCCGCCTCACCTCGGATACCACCATGGTCAGTGACCTGGTCTCCCAGAACATCAACATCTTCCTGCGGAACACTGTCAAGGTCACGGGCGTGGTAGTCTTCATGTTCAGCCTCTCGTGGCAGCTCTCCCTTGTCACCTTCATGGGCTTCCCCATCATCATGATGGTGTCAGACATCTATGGCAAATACTACAAGGTAGGCTTGGCCCTGCTGGGCTCTGAAGAGCTGGCTTCCCTGGGGGGTACCTCCAAAGGGCACCGGGTCACTGGGCGCTAGGATGGAGCATCTTGAGACATGCATGCATTCATACACTAATTCATTCAGTCATTCGCACTGTATTGAACACCTGCTGTGGTGTGTGCCAGCCCAGGACACAGTAAAACTGACAAGGTCACTGCCCTTGGGGAGCGTACATTCTAATGAGCAGGAAAACAGGAGTAACAAGAAGTCTTACGTTAAAGGTGGTAGGTGCCAAGGAGGAAAAGGAAGTAAGGCAGGAAGATGGGGCATGTTGGGACTGACTGCAACTTTAATGAAATTAAAATTGCAAAATTTTTTTTTTTAAAGATTTATTTATTTATGCATACAGAACTGGGGTACAGGCCAGAGGCTCGGGGCGGTGAGAGGCTTCACCAGAGACAGAGTGGGGAGCAGAACAGGCAGATCGACAAAGTACACTGCTGAGGGGAGCAGCGGGTGGGTCAGGAGAGGTCTGCCACACCATGTGGTCACCTCCGGGGCAGGCGGGAATCGAACTCATGCGGAAGTGGCTTTAGCTTCTCAGTGCAGTGCTTTAACCCGCTGCGCCACCAGGGAGGGCCAAAATTGCAAAATTTTAATGAAGTTTCTAAGGGAACTTAGAAACTTGGCACTTAACTAAAGATCGCAAGGTAGATGTCTCAAGAAGCATATTCCAAGTAAGGGGCATGGTCAGTGCAAAGGTAGGAGGCCAGTAAGGCTGGAATGAGGAGACGGGGTAGGGGACCGGTCTGGTGTGCCAGGATGAGGCGGGCAGTGGATGGCAGGGGTCTTGGCAAAAACTAGCTTCACTGTGTAGTCGCTTTCTCCCTGCAGAGTAGCCATGCCCTGTGAGTAGCTCAGGCCCTGTGAGTGAGGCTCTGGGCTGTGGCCACCCCTGGCCCTGCCGCTGCATGGGAAGCCAGCCTGTGGGCTGGGGTTGGAAGCCCCAGAATGTCCCCCATACCCCACCATTGCCACAGTGCGAGCACAGTGCTCTGCTTTGCATGTTTTTGGGGACCCCAGCCCTAAGATCCCCAGAGACCTCAACCTGGGGACTTGGGGGACTTGTGATGACCTCAGGTATCCCAGACCCAAACCAGCACCTAGCATCTACCACCCAGGGGGGTCCCCTCCTGGGTAGTTCTGGGCCTCAGGCCTCCCTGTTTTCCTCATGGGTAGAAAAGTAAGCACAGGAGTTGGCCCTTCAACCATGCCCTATCTGGGCTGGCTCTTCCTGCCTTCCTGCCAGCCCCTGGGCTGGGGGCAAGGAAGCCCCAGAGCTCCCTTCCACAGCAGCCCCACCTATAGACACACCTTGGGGCCTGCCCGAGCGCAGGCAGAGGCACTGAAGGAGGCTCTGTGCAGGCTTTCTAACTGGTGCCTGAGTGTGTTGACTAGAGCCTCTGTGTCATCCCAAAAGCCACAAACCCTACCCACAGCCAGACATGACTCAGGCCCTCCCCGGAGGCTGCAGCACTCCGCCTGCCTCCAGCGGCCGGGGCATGACTCACAGGTCATGGGACCTCCTGGGCTGGCCTCTGGGGCAGCCTTCCTGGCTGGTTTGAGAACCTGAGTGGTGACTACTGCAGAGCTTGGCCAGTGCTGCTGGAGACTGCTTCCAGAACTCTGCGTGGCAGCATCCTATTGGTCATAGACTCGAGACCACTTCTTGCCATGTATCCCAGTTATATACATGATCTGAGCAGGTTTCTTAGCCTCTGCCACCAACTGAACTTGGCTGGGAGTTCTGGAATCTCTGTGCCAACTGTCACGCTCTCACATCATTTTGTGTATGTTAACGATAAAATGGTGGCCCTGAACAGCTGGTGATTTATACGATGAATAATCTCAACAACCATCCAGGACATTCCACCTTTTAAGTCCTTAGGGTCTTTTTCTGAAAGGATTACCACAAGCTTGTTGGTTGCAAATAACCTCCTCGGGTACCAGAGATTACTTTTTTTTTTAAGATTTTATTTATATATACAGAACTGGGGTACAGGCCAGAGGTGTGAGAGGGTAAGAGGATTCATCAGAGACAGAGTGGGGAATAGAACAGGTGGATTGATTGAATACTGCTGAGGGGAGCAGCAGGAGGGTCAGGAAAGGTCTGCTGCGCCATGTGGGTCACCTCCCTGGCCAGGATCAAACTCATGCTTTGGTGGCTGCGACAGCGTCACAGCGCTGCGCTTTAACATGTTGTGCCACCAGGGAGGGCCCACCAGAGCTGAAGCCTTAGGAGCTGACCTCTAATGCCACACCAAAGTCTATTCTCTGAGTGTCACATCAAGCTAGGATGAGGAGATGGAGAGCTAGGCTTCATCCTTTGTCCCTGGAACTCTCTGGATAGAGCCAGAACCAAGCAAAGGTAGAGGAACCCGAAGACCAGGGGACTCAGGTAGATGGTGAGACTATCTGTCCTGGGGTCTCCTCTCTGTCTCCCCTCCTGCCCATAGAGGCTCTCCAAAGAGGTGCAGAATGCCCTGGCCAGGGCCAGCAACACAGCTGAGGAGACCATCAGTGCCATGAAGACAGTCCGGAGCTTTGCCAACGAGGAGGAGGAGGCAGAGGTGTACTTGAGGAAGCTGCAGCAAGTGTACAAGCTGAACAGGAAGGAGGCAGCGGCTTACACCTACTACGTCTGGGGCAGCGGGGTATGCACACCAGCCCGGGCAGGTCTGATGGGTGGGGAACACATGACCAGGATTCCAGCCACATGAGCCCCTGTCTTGGTGTCAGGTTGATGCACTTGACTTGATTCTGCCCTGCTTTCTGCTTGCCAGGGTCCTTCTGGGAGAGCACAGCCTCCTGGCAAAGGCCTCCAGGACTCTGTGCCTTCCCTGGGACAGTTGGGGATAGAAGAGGAGTCACCCAGGCCAGAGTACCCCAACCCCGGCCACTGTCTGTAGGTGCTGGGCCCCAACCCTAAACGCCTCGTTAAGAGTGTCTGGCTCATTTCCAGGATGAGCCTCAGCCTCTCTGCAGAGCAGGGGGCCCTTGGGTCCCATCACCTCTGCACTGGGCATAGCTGGGGTCAGCATGAGGAGAACTTGGCATTTAGGAGCAAGGGGAGCTGATGATCTGTGGGGAAATGTGGGGGCAGGGGTTACCTAGGTCCCCCAGGTCATGTCACCCCTCAAAAGTACACAGCCAGGAAGGAGATGGTCTGGAAATTGGGCTAAGCTCTCTGAGCTTCTTTGCAGCCTGCCCCCAAATCTCAACGGCACAGTGGTCTCGCCGTTAAATTCTGTGTGACCCAGGTCCATCAGAAGGCTTGGTCATAGGGACTGGCAAAGAGGGCCTCTAAATGGGTCATTGCAGGTACTCAGCTTCCAGTCCGGTCCTAGACGCTCCCCAGGCCCTGGAGCATGTAGGGAGCAGGAGCGCCCAAGCAGAGCCCTCCTTCATGGAACTTGGCCTGGCTCAGGAACACAGACTTCACTTCACTGTCCTCTAGGCCTGGCTTGCTGTGTGACTTCAGCCAGGGCATGTTACCTCTCTGAGCCATGCCTAACTCAGTGAGGAGGATAAGGAGCTCCTGTCAGCCTTGCCTCGGCTGGGCCTCGCGTGAGCATGCCAGGGCCTTACAAAGAGGGCCTTGTTCTGGTGCCAGCTCTTGGCCGCTATGGCTGGGGCCTGGGTAGGGAAAGGTGCCAAGGCAAGGGAGGGGGAGGGGATGTGAGTGACGGCTACCAGCCAGAGGGAGGACATCCCAGCACCAGCTGGAGTATCCGTTGGTGGCTGGGCGTGGGTAACCCACAGCTGCTCCCGCCTCCCCCTGCAGCCTGGGGGTGGGAAGAGAGCCCTGTGACTCCAACCCCCCTTTCCTTCTGTCTCCAGCTTACGCTGCTGGTGGTCCAGGTCAGTATCCTCTACTACGGGGGCCACCTCGTCATCTCAGGGCAGATGACCAGCGGCAACCTCATCTCTTTCATCATCTATGAGTTTGTCCTGGGAGACTGCATGGAGGTGAGTGGCTGGTTTGGGGGCAGGTGCTGGGGGAGGGGTGGGGGGGGAGAAGAAGCTGATGTGGGGTATACCAGGGGTGTGGTCTTTTTTCTGAGGTCTTCAGGGGGCAACTGGGCCCCGCCTGCCATGACTGCCCTACATGTCGTAGCATCCCCGCAGAGGCAGCAGTGTGGCAGTGACAAAGGTGATTTCAGAAAACGCTCCCAAGAACACAGTGGGGATCCAGTACTGTTCAGGGAAATAAACTAGGGCTCAGAGAGGTGAAACCCCTCACCCACCCAGCGAGGGGGGGTGCCAGGGCCTGGTGCTGTAGCGCATCAGGTGAGAAAGCTCAGGGTGGGGGAGGGGCACCCTATGCGGGAGGTGCTGGTCTCTCATCGTGAACTAAGCGGCCCTCCCGGGGGCACCCTTATGCAGAGCCAAGCTGTGTGCCCCGGGATGGGGGCCCACTTGAGCCCATGGTCCATCTGGACACCAGCTGCCAGGTGGCCACTACCAACTGAGGCGGGTCTGTGTGCACCGGCCTGGAGGCCCCGCAGCATCTGGCAGGAGGACCCCAAACGCCAGAACAGCAGCACTCTGCTGTGTGCTCTTCTTGTGTGGTCTCGCGTCTCAGAATTATTTCATCACATACATGTGTGTGCTTGTGACCGCACTGAGTAAAGGCTAGAAAGGTACAGCAAGGTACCTGTGGCCCCCTCCGGGGAGGGGCAGGACAGACAACTTCTACCCGCCCCGGGTGTCCTAACAGTTATGGTATCTGGATGGCGACTGCACGGCACGGGGTGGCGAGGGGCTTCCCGTGGGCCAGGCACTGTCCCCAAGGCCATGGCCAGGTGCTGCTCTTCCCCTGATGACCACCCAGGATGTCCCTTTTTCGTAAGGGCCCAAGCAGCCTGGGTTCAAGTCCCAGCTGTGCCACTCCCTGGTTGTGTGACTCAGGGGAAGTCACCTAAATGCCCCCTGCCTCCATTTCTTTCCCTGCTAAAAGGAGCCAGTGATGGAACCTGCCTGTGTGAGATGGGCGGTCGCTGGTCACACTCACGCCATGTGCACTGTGCCCAGGGGGAATGTAGGATGTGGGTATAAGTTAAGGCCCATTCCTAAAGTTGAAGTGTTTGAGTTCTGTGGCAGCTAAATGAGGAAGATTCCATTCCTGTTCTGCCACATTCTGGCTGGTTCCTTGGGAGCCTCTGGAGGGGCTGACGGTGCTGGGATTAGCTGGGACGGCCGGAGGTCGTCTGAGAGAAGGCATGGGTGGTGGTGATTGACCTCCTCATTTTGTCATGATTGTTATTATCTGCTGAGCCAGTAGGTGGACCCATCCCCAAGCCCCCCAGAAATACCACTGTGTCCTTGCTCTCCGTATCCCCTTCATCTCTTTAGTGACACAGGGGACCCCAGCAGTGAGGTGCCTGTAGGACAGGAGGCTGTCTCTCCCCCCTGCAGTCCGTGGGCTCCGTCTACAGCGGCCTGATGCAAGGAGTGGGGGCTGCTGAGAAGGTGTTCGAGTTCATTGACCGGCAGCCAACCATGGTGCATGATGGGAACTTGGCTCCCGACCACCTGGAGGGCCGGGTGGACTTTGAGAACGTGACCTTCACCTACCGCACTCGGCCCCACACCCAAGTCCTGCAGGTAAGAAGTGACTGGGAATCATCCTCCCCCTTACTCCATCTCATGCCTCTCCTCCAGGCCAGCCCTGGGCAATGCAGCCAAGAATATGTAAGGCTGAGTTCCTACCCTGGTGAAGTTTGGGTTCTGGTGGGCAAAGCCACACCATTAACAGAAGGATTCTGGATAACAAGTAGAAGGTCGTCAATAAATCAGAGCAGTGTTATGGGGTAGTCTATGAGGATGGTATTATAGTCAAGGAGGGCTTCTTGGAGGAGGTAACATTTGAGCAGAGACCTCAGCAAGGAGTAAGAACCAACCAGGTGGCTCTTGCAAAAAAGAGCATTCCAGGTAGAGGAAATAGTTACAAAGACGTGCCAAGGCCTGGAAAGGAGAGCCTTCCAGGGATCCAGCAGCACCCCACCACAGCAGACGAGCAAGGCTGGAGAGTGTGCCCCCCTGAGGCCAGAGTAGCTGAGCCAGTGGCCCCACACAGTTTCTTTGTGTCCTTGCAGAATGTCTCCTTCAGCCTGTCCCCAGGAAAGGTGACTGCGCTTGTGGGGCCGTCAGGAAGTGGCAAGAGCTCCTGCGTCAACATCCTGGAGAACTTCTACCCCCTGGAGGGGGGCCGCGTGCTGCTGGATGGGAAACCCATCAGCGCCTATGACCACAAGTACTTGCACCGTGTGGTATGTGCATGGTCTTCCGCGCTCCCCTGCCCCTTCTGGATCTAGCTTCCTCCTCACAAGATGCAGAGAAGAGCACTAAAGGGAAACATAAAGATGCATTGCTGAGATAACACCAGCCAGGTCAGGAAATAGAACATTCTGGCCCTCCAGGTTACACGTCCCCTCACCCCCACCCCAGATGCAGCGTCTTGCTTGGCTTTTATCAACATCGTCTTCTGGCTTTTCTCTAGTCTTACCGTCTCAGTGTGCCTCTCCAGCCTGCACAGCTGCTTCCTCCTCGCATCGACCTTCCTCTGCGTGGACTCACACAACGTGTATACCTGTGTGTCCTGCCCCTTCACTGAAGGTCATTTATGAGTCAGTCAGGGTGGGGCCGTGCTGCAGCTTGCCTGTTCCCAGGACTGGGTGATCATTTCCTGTACAAGCAAATCAACCTCGTTAGATGTCTCCTCTTGCTGGATACTTGGGCATTTCCTGCTTTGTTATACCGACTGTTGTTCATACTGCTCTGGACAGTTCTTTCCATGCTTCTGGGTATGTTCTTCCGGGGGGTGCATGCACATACCCCCCAACCAAGGTCACTGTGCCACGTTACAGCCCCACCAGCAGCTGGGAGCGCCTTCTGTTCTCATGGCAGTTCTCTCCACTACTTGGAAGGAGGCTATACGTGACCACACATATTTTCTGTGCCTCAAATGGGATCTTGTGTGGGCTTAGGAACAGAGATGTGCTGAATGTGGTTCAGTTAGTACACTGTACAAGAAGCACCAGCTATTCAGGGCCCCATTTCATCATTAACATACATTAAGTTATGCAAGAGTTTGAGGGTTGGCACTGAGATTCTTGAACTGCTTGCCAAGTTCTAGATGGTGGCGGAGGCCACAGATGGTGAAATCTACCCACGTTTGTGGGTATAACCAGGGGCAGAGGCTGAGAAATGATCCCAGGAATGGGAATACCAGGCTGAATATTCTGATAGCTGACGTTGTATGTCCTAAATTTATTTTCAACAGGTGAGTATGTGGAGGGTGATCATCACAGGCTTCTACATTTCCCTCCAGGTTATCAAATAGCGTCTCATGTACTTATGGAATATTTGGATTTCCTCTTTTATCAATACTCCTTCACTAACTTTAAAGTTTTAATTTCTGTATAAGGCTATTGACCAATATAGATGAATTTTCTTTTTCTTTTTCTTTTTTTTTTTTAAAGAAAGACTTTATTTATGCATGCATGCATACAAGAGCTGGGGTGCAGGCTGGAGATGTGGAGGGTGAGAGAAGTCACCAGAGACAGTGGGGAATAGAGCAGGCATCTACTGAAATACACTGCTAGGGAGAGCTGCGGTTGAGACAAGAGAGGTCTGCTGTGCTATGTTGGTCACCTCCCTGGCTGGGGATTGAACTCATGCTACGGTGACCACAGATAGCTTCACAGTGCTACAACTTAAAGCGTTGCACCACAGGGAGGCCCCTTGGTGGATTTTCAAAACCCTCAACAGTAACACAGGAAATCCATGTTCCCACAACTCAGAAAATTATGTAACTGAGACATGGGGTTCCCTTCTACCCCACCTTTTGAATTCCACCCCAGGAAAGTGACAAGTGTTAGAAGTTTAGTAGATAACCATTCCCACTTTTCCCTGTACTTATATGTGTGTGTATGTTGCAATTTGATTTTTATGAATGTACCATAATTAACCAACCCCAAGATTATGGACAACTATTGTCTTCCTCCATCCCTCACTCCCTCCCTCTTCTCTCTCTCCTTCTCTCCCTCCTTCATTCCTTCCTTTCCTTCTGCTATTTACAGTTGCATTTATAACCTTCATGTTATTATTTTTCTAGACCAAATTTCTAAGCCTGGACAGTGAAAGGGGGGCAAACAGTGACAGGGAGCTGTCCTGGTCAGGGAAGTTAGCCCTAAACAATGAGCTTAGAAGCCCCCTTTGCTGGTTGCTGGGAGGCTGAGGGCAAGCATGCATGGAAAGTAGACTCCAGAATGCAACAGCCAGGTATAGGCCAAGATCAGATTTCAGACCTGAGATCCCTGGCATCAGCCAGACGTGGGGCTGGCAATGTTGCTAGAAGGACATGTTCCTGGCTTCCCATACCCCATGCTCTCTCTTCTCAGATCTCCCTGGTGAGCCAGGAGCCAGTGCTGTTTGCCCGCTCCATCACAGACAACATTTCCTATGGCCTGCCCACTGTGCCCTTTGAGATGGTGGTGGAGGCTGCACAGAAGGCCAATGCCCATGGCTTCATCATGGAGCTCCAGGATGGCTACAATACAGGTACTCATCACCAGGAGAATCACCTCCACTGATCTGGGAGATCCACCCTCAGGGATGTGACCCTCTGAGGGACACATTGCACTCTAGTAGCTGTTCTTTATCATTTTAGGCGTAAATCTTTTTTTTTTTTTTTTAAGGATTTAAAAAACTGGGGTACATGCCAGAGGTGCAGAGGTGGCGAGAGGATTCACCAGAGATAGAGTAGGGAGCAGACGAAGTACACTACTGAGGCGAACAGCAGGCGGGTCAGGAGGGGTCTGCGGCGCCATGAGTTCATCTCCAGGACATGCGGGGATCGAATTCATGCTGAGGTGGCTTCAGTTTCTTAGTGTTGTGCTTAACCCGCTGCACCACCAGGGAGAGCCCTAGGTGGAAATCTTTTAACATAAACATAACTAGTTAAGTGGCACTTAGTATCTTGTACAACTACCTCCTTTGTTGAGTTTCAAAGAATTCTTATTTTAAAATAATATGTTTACTACATTAGTCACTTAATTTTAATACACTAATATTTTAATTTAATAAGCTATTAATTTATGTATTAATTGTAATTATATATTTAATTTTTTAACTCTTAGAAAGGTCTATTCACATGGTTCAAACTGAAACAATATACAGTAATGTGCATATTTTATTCCATCCATCCCTTTCTCCAGCCCATTTCCTCCTGCCCTCACCAAAACTTCTTTAATTTCTTCCATGTCCTTTGGAGTTTCTTAATGCAAATAGGAATGTATATTTTTATTCCCTCTGCCTTTTTACCAATGAAAAACAGCACTTTATAATCTGCACCCAATTTTAAAAAAATTTAACACTCTGACTTAGTGACCTTTCTTTACTAATGCATAGAGATGGTCCTTGTTCCTTTTTTTAAACAGCTGCATAGTATTCCAGAACATGGGCTTTATAATAGCTTATTCTGAAATAACTTTATTCATTTCTGATTGACGGACATTCCAGTTGTTTGTTTTTTGCAATAGCGCTGCTGAAACTGGTGTTGGTGTCACTTGGGAATTCAGAGCAGTGGGCTTGCCAGTGCCGGGCAGGATGTGCAGGCAGAGGGATCGCACCACTGCGTGGTCTCCAAGACAGGAGACTAGGCTCCCCTGCCACCCAGCCCCTGTGTTGTCTGGATCTTTGCCAAATTAATGGGTAGAGCCTAGCATCTTGGCCCCAGTGCCTGTAGTGATTTGCATGCCCATGTACACTGGAGGAAGAGCTTACTTTCTGGGATTTTCAACTCTTAGCTCCTAGCCCAGCTGTTCCTCTGGAGCACAGCTCCCAGACACCAGGGGTTAAGGTGGAGGAAGGGGCCTTGGGCCCTTCTCTAGGGCTGCCCTGGCTCCCCTCTATCTCATGTCTTCTGCGCCTCCACTTTGCAGAGACAGGGGAGAAGGGCGCTCAGCTGTCAGGAGGCCAGAAGCAACGGGTGGCCATGGCCCGGGCTCTGGTGCGGAACCCACCTGTCCTCATTCTGGATGAAGCCACCAGTGCCCTGGATGCAGAGAGCGAGTACCTGGTAAGTGGTGGGGCCAGGGTGATTGGTGGGGCCAGGGTGAAGAGTGGGTGGCCAGGCCCACCTCCACCCAGTGGACTGGGCTGGGGAGGGCTGAAACCTAGGGGCTCTCCTGGGCAGCAGCCTCCTGGACATAGAGGTCCTAGCCACCTGGCAGAGCTGAAATGCTGTGGGGTGGGAGGCCTGGGTCAGAAGCTCTGCTCCACAACTAAGGTTTGAGCAAATCTCTTTCCTCCCAAGTCACCTTTTCACCATGGAGCCGGCCCTGCACATATGTTGCTGACTACTGCTTGGTCTCTCTGGATCCAGCCTTTCATCAGCCAGGAATTTACTGAGCTCTCCTAGTACCCAGGCAGCTTTCTGGGCAAGGGGCGGGGACACTGTATGGGCTGGCAGACAGAGACTTCCTTCTTCCCAGGGTCTCCTTTCCAGAGCAGAAGGCATGTCCTTAACAAGGAGACCATTGTGAGTTCTGCCTGTGGCCTAGGCTACAGAGAATCTGAGATGGGGTCACCGTTGTCAGCTAGATGATGGATAAATGGATTCTGCTTCGTCATTACATACGGGGAAGCCTGTGCTGTGTGCGGTTTTGGGCTTTGTGTAGAGGAACCGAGCATTTTACTGGCAGACCAAGCTTCCGGGTGTGGGGGCAGGTGTGAATGTGGCTAATCCAATGGTGTCTGCTGGCAAGTACTGAAATGGGGTATCTAGCTGCCCAGAGAGACAGGACAGAGGCCCTGTGCTTCCTGGCAGTCATGTTTCTAGGGAAAGCTTTCCAGTCCTTGAGAGACCCACCTTGAGCTATGGACACACCACGTGCCGGTCTCACAGAGCAGGAAGGGCTGTGAAGGTCGGTCCTTCTCAGCAACAGTTCCATGAGAGGGAGGTGGGCCCTGTCAGGTATGAGAGGATGGGCCATTGTCATGACAGCACCGTGCATGTTAGGGCACCCAGTCATTCTCGGGACCAGGCCTGATGCTGCTGGAAGCTGTGAGTATAGGAGTGGGCAGTCATCGCCGCCACCCAGATGGCTGTAGTGCTCACATGAACCAGGAATGGGGCCTTCAGCTGCCATGTGAACTGAGGCCTACCTGGACAAGCCAGCCATGGGTGTTCTGGTTGAGGGTGTCCAAGGAAGAGGGTGCAGCGGGAGCTGACATGCTGGGCAAGTCCACAGCCAAGCCCGAAGGCCAGTGCGGCTGGCAACTGGGAGTCGATGCAGCCAGAGGAAGACAGGCTCCTCAGACCTGAGGGATTTTCATTCCTATAGGTTTTATTTTTTTAGAGCAACTTTAGGTTTAACGAAAATTGAACAGAAAGCAGAGTCCCAAGCTATCCGCAAGCCTCCCTGCCTTCAACATCTCGAGTAGCAGGCACACTCGTCACAGCTGAAGTCCCTGGCTCATGTGAGCGGTCGGGACTGTCTGCTTTGTTTGTACTTTCTGTGGACTTTGGCAAAACTAGCGTGTCCTGTGCCTGCAGCTGAGGATAGGATCACTCTTCAGCCCTAAAATGTCCCAGGGTTTGGATTTGACCCCAGGTGGGACAAGATGCCTGGAGGGTACAAGAGGGCTTAACAAGGATTGATACACAATTTTAAAAACAGATGGGGCTGGACAGGGGACAGGCAGGAGAGCTGCTGAGTAATCATGGTCATGATAGGGGGAAAGGCAGGAACAGAGTGAGCAAAGTGAGGAGATAGGACCCACAGAAGTTGCTGGTGTATTAGATTCAAATAAAAAGGGAGGGCCTCCCCCGTGGCCTAGAGGTTAAGTCTTAGTGCTATCACCATTACACCCTGAGTTCTATCCCCGGCCAGGGAGCTGACCCACATGGTGCAGCTGACCTCCCTGTCCTGTCTCCCCACTGATGCCCTCAGCAGTGTATTTCAGTACACTTGCTTGTTCTGCTCCCCACTCTGTCTCTGGTGAATCCTCTCACCCCCCACCCTGTGGCCTGTACCTAATCTTGTATTCATAAATAAAAATAAATCTTTTTAAAAATCAAAAGGGAAAGATTTGGAATTGAGAGTGACGCCTGGCTTTGCTGTCTAGCCCATTAACCAGGCAGGTGCTAGAGGGGGCAGAGGGAACACCAGAGACTGCCAGGTAAGGGCCTACCTGCCCCTGGACAGCACTTCCCTGGTGTGAGATCCTGAAGTCTGTCTCCCCTGAGCACAAACCAGGGAGCAGGTTCCGTACCTGCCAGGGGCCTGACTTTGCAAACACGGAGCTGAGTTTCACCAGGTTAAGCATCAGCAGGTGGGTTGCAGGCAACCCAGGAGTTGTGACCCAGTCCTTCCTCTCTCTCCAGATCCAGCAGGCCATCCACGGCAACCTGCAGAAGCACACGGTGCTCATCATCGCACACCGGCTGAGCACGGTAGAGCGGGCGCATTGCATTGTGGTGCTGGACAAGGGCCGTGTGGTGCAGCAGGGCACCCATCAGCAGCTGCTGGCTCAGGGCGGCCTCTATGCCAAGCTCGTTCAGCGGCAGATGCTGGGGCTCGAGCCCGCCTCAGACTACACAGCCTGCCACAAGGACCCCTCCAGCAATGGCAGTCACAGGGCCTGACCCCACCTTTGCCTCCCCCAGGGCACAGGCCCTCCCACCTGGTAGCTGTGCCCCTGAGCCCCCCCTCCCCCGCCTTCTGGCTCGGGCCAGGGCACTGAGGGAGACCTGCCTTGTTCCCCACGTCACTGCTTCCTGCATTTTGCCCCTGGTTCCCACCCTCAGCCACCCCCTCCAGTCTGGGTAATGAGGACACAGGGTCTCTCTATCCGGTCTTCGAGGCTTTTAAGCAAAAGTACCTTTTTAAACCAAGATCTTACCAGGTTTTTAACTGCTTGTTTTGAAGGGCCCCAGTCTGCTCCTAGATTTCAAAAACATTTTTTCTAACTGGGAGTAGTAGTGGGCAAGGTCATTGAGACATTCCAGAAGCTTTTATACCAGGAATAAATGCCCCTTTCCGATGGCCTGGGGGATGTCAGGGGAGAGCTAATTGCCTCTGTGCTTTGTTCTCCCCCAGATAAGGGGCTTCCTTGTCCCAGAGGAGGCACAGGCTGGGGGTTTCTTGTCTTCCTGGTCCCAGCAAGTGAGTCAGCCCAGGGACTGCAGGACAGTGGAAGGCGTCCATCTGCCCATTGCCCGCCGCCCTGCAAATCTAAGCTAGTCTCACTGTGAACCACTACAAACCTTAACTGGGAGTGTGGGGGGCTGGCCAGGCCTGGAACACCCTTGGGGTGCCCCTAGTCCAATGCCCAGCTCTAGGCCCCTGGCCCTGCCTGGTCCCCATCCCCCTCCCTCGGCTGGCACCCTGCCCTCTACCCACCCCACCATTGCTGTTCCACACTTGGGAGACGCATTCTCTTCCCTGTCAGGTAGATGGGACAGATGCAAATCCCCGGGTCTGGCTTCACGGGGGTGTAAGGCGCTGGCAGAACCCCATCAATAAAGTGTACTACCTCTGACCCCTGACCTCTGATCTCTTTCTGGGCTGGCTGTCCCATGGCTTGATTTGGTTTTTCTAGCAAACTCCTCTCTCCCTCTGGCCCTGTCTGGTGTCATTAAGCAGAAACCTTGGGTGGTCTCTGGTGTCCCTCCTGGTGTCTGGGAGCCCCCCAACTGTACTCTTCATGTCCCCAGGATCACCAGATGATCCTGTCCAATTCCATGAGGCCTGAACAGAGAAATAGAGACTGGCCTCCTTGATATCCCTGGGGGTCTCTGCACCCCAGGAAAGCTGAGACCCAGCAAACACCACCTGTTCTTATCTGTCAGGGCCCACCACCCTAGGCCTCCCAACCTGCAGGGCTAGAAATATTACCCGGTCGGGCAGCTCTAGCAGAGGACAAGTGGAAGCCTGGCCCAAGGAAGGTCTTGGGAGTGGTTTTTCTTACTTGCTGGATTCTGTGGAAGTCTGAGGACCCCTTAGGAGGCCTGGGGGCCCCAGACTACGTACAAATGGCAAGGAAGTATTTTAATGTCTACCTTCGATAGTCACGCTGCATATTCTAGCTCAGTATCAGCCACAGATGATTGCCACCAAGAGCTAAGACCCAGATTCTGGTTAGCTGTCTTCCCTGCTGGCCCTGCCATGAGTAACTTATCTCTCCAGGACCTGCCTGCCCTGCAAGGGCAAGAGCCTTCGAGCAAGTTCCCACAGCAAGATTGTGCTTAGGCTGGGGTCTGGTGGAACCTCTCTCTGTGCCTCTTCATGGAAGCCTCACAATTACTGCTTCTCCCATATTGGAGTTGATGGAGCCAAAGATCTGAGAGGCGAAATGGCTGACTCTGTGTCCCACAGCCAAGACCCCACAAGCTGAACCCACAAAAGTCGGGAACTAAAAATGGGTGGGGCATACATGTTATCTGAATTCTTTCCCAGTGCTCATACCATGGCATAGTATAAATTCAAATTTTTTCCATGCTGAGAAACGCCCAAAATACACAGGTGACCTAAATAGTCAGAGTGGCTGGGGGAGTGGAGGCGGGGAGGGGGATGTTGGGATGCTGTCTGTGACCTGCCCATTTATCTGCCTCCCTGTATGCCCCTCTGGGCCTAGTGTTCTCACAGGTGAGGTGCTGCAGGGCTTGGGGAGCTCCTGCCTGCAGAGATGATGCTCCATGGGAGGAGGGTGAGTTAGTTTCCTGGGGCTACCATGGCAAATGGCTACAAACTAGGTCACTTAAAAACCACAGAAAACTTATTCTCTCACAGCTCAGCAGGCGACTTCAGGAGTCGGCAGGGTGCTCTTCAGAAGGCTTTCCTGGGAGGACCCTTCCTGCACCTTCCAGCTGTTGGTGGCTCCAGGGCCCCTTGTCTGGTGGCCACCTCCCCCCACCTCCGCCCCAAGCTTCCCTGTGTGAGTCTCAGCTTCCCTCTGCCTTCCTCTTACAAGGACACTTGTCACTCGATGTAGAGCCTTTTGTTGCTAAGCCAGGATGACTGTGTCCTCAGAGCCTGAGTCACATCTGCAAAGGCCCTTTTTCCCAATAAGGTCACATCACAGGTTACAGAGATTTGATGGGGTCTTTGGTGGGGGTGAATCTGCAGACTTCATCCACAAGGCTTGGATCTCTTATTCCCTCCTTGGGGGCCATGGCCCTGGCTCAGAGCCAACGCCAGACTCCCCATTTGGTTTGGGGGTGGGCTAAATACTTAGAAGGCCAGGAACACCAGGCTTGGGTTGGGTTGATTGTGAAGAGGATTGTGGAACTGAAAGTAGACTTGGGCCAGACTCCCCGCTGCAGCTTTATCTGTCCCTTCATCGAGCAGATTTTCTGTACTTTGGCTGCTAGAAACCCTAAGTCTCAATACATCAAATGCAGACATCCCCATGGCGGCAGGGCCCCTGCCTGCCCTTGGCCCTCAAACCTGACGCTCAGTGCCTCTGCGCAGCTACACTGGCCTCTTCTCCGGGTCCTCAAGCACACCCAACTTGTTCTTATCTCTGAATCTCTATAGTGGCTGTCCCTTCAGTCAAAAGCACTGTTCCTTCCACTGAGTGCCCAGTGGGTCCCTTCACATCCTACTCTTAGCTCACATGTCCTCTCTTCTTCCTCCAAAATGTTGGATTCCCCACAGGCCGTGTCTGTGATCACAGCACTTGTCATCCCCTGAAATTTTCTCTGCCTTGTTTGTTCTCTACCTCTTCCTGAATATGTCAGCTCAGGAGAGCAGCTCCCTGACTAGCACTGGTGCTCCCTCTGTAACCCTCCAGGAGCCTGGGCCTCCTGGCCTGTGGCGTCTGGCCAGGATCATCAACTCAGGCCCTTTCCATGCTCCTGGAGATTTTTATGATAGTGGAGCTTCCCTGGAGCCACTTTTGCCCGAAGCATCTACGCTCTGGTCATGTCTGTTCCACATCAATCAGACATGAGTCTCACCCCCCTCCTCAGCTCTCTGGAGGAAGAAGCCTCCACAGCAGCAGAGCACTTTATACTTCCCACTTCAGGGCTCTGCATGCGCAAATGCTGGCAACAACCCTCAAGGTAGGCATTATGCTCTCATTTGCAGATGAGGAAAAGAGGCATAGAGAGGTTAAATGACTTGTCCAAGACCACCCACCTTCTAAGTGTCCCATGCTTGGTTTTTGCTCTGTGGCTGCTGTTTGGAAATTCTTCAAAATTCTTGAACAAGAGGCTCTGTTTTTATTTTGCACTGGGGCCTGCCCCATGACCTTGCTCCCTGGGTCTGTGGCGGCTGCAGCAGAAGACCTGAAAGGCCCCTTGCCAGAGTGGGGCTCAGAGAAGTCTCTAATGAGCTCTGCAGCCCTCATACTGTTGCCAGTCACCCCTTCCCCTGCCTCTTACAAGCTGGTCCCTGAAGCTCCATGTGTGCATCAGGCGCAGATGGGTCTTCCCACACGGCCTGTCCTGGCAGGCTCTGGAGACTGTGCAATCGGGAGGAGGTTGCTGGTCAGACTAGGGAGGTCCTGGCCAGAGTGACAGCTCCAGGGTCACCTCCAGGTGCCGCTCATCAGCTGCAGGACTGGAAAAGTTGCTGAAGGTGGGCTCCCAGGCCCAGCTGCCTGGCGTGGGCAGCAGAAGCAGCCCCATGGCAGGGTCCCCATCCATTGCACAGAGGCACCAGGGCTCTGCTTCCATCTGGTTAAGGCCTCCCCCATCTTACAAAGCAGCCACAGCTAGTGACTGGGAAACCATCTGTGCCTCCTCTTCATCAGGACCAGCCAGGACAGTTTTGCAGGCTTTGGCTGCACAAGGTGCTCAGCTGTAAGCTTGAGCTCCCGTCTGTTGATATGAGGGGTGGGTGCACCACAGGTGAAAAGAAGGGAAATGTCAGCAGGTAAATGGCGCCTGCTATGAGATTTTAGGGAGTGGCATGATAGCAATGACCTGGGACTTCTTTAAAGGGGTCACCTGCTGTTCACAAGGACACATGGGTAATGGGGCCAGGCTACGGTTTTTCAAGGGAAGTTGGCAAAGCTGTGTTTTGTGAGCTCCCATTTCTAACTTTTGATTCAAACTTTTAAATATACAAACATCCCCTCCCCGGAGCTGACCTACAGGGCATGGCAGACATCGCTGTCTCACCGGCTGCTCCCCTCAGCAGTGTACTTTGTTGATCTCCCTGACCTGCTCCCCACTCTGTCTCTGGTGGTTCATCTCCCCACCCCTGCACCTCTGTATGCATAAATAAATATATTTTTTTAAATTAGGGCAATATGGATAGGATAAGACAAAATTCACCATCTAAATAATTTTAAAGTATGGAATTTAATGGTATTTAGCATACTCACAATGCCGCAAAACATCCTGTCTAGTTCCAGAACATTCTCATCACCCCAAAAGGAAATCTGTACCCATTAAGCCATCATTCCCTAGTCCCTAGCAACCAAAGATCTGTTTTCTGTCTCTGTGGATTTGCCTGTTCTGGGCATTCATGGAAATAAAATCCCATAGGGTGTGCCTCTCGGATCTGGCTTGTCCCTTATGGCATCATGTCTTCAAGGCCCATTCACGCTGGAGCAGAACTAGGACTTTGTTTGTTATTGTGGTGGAGCATTCTTGCATTGCATGGATGGGCCATGGTTGTTTACCCTTCTATCTGTGGGTAGACATTATGGTAGTTTCCATACAAGTGTTTGTGGGGATGTATTTTCAAATCTCTGGGGTAGAATCGCTGGAAAAGGAATGTTTTTTCATTTTTTAAAAAACGATTTATTTATTTATGCATAAAGAGCCGGGATACAGGCCAGAGGTACAGGGGAGGTGAAAGAATTCACCAGAGGCAGAGTGGGGAGCAGAATAGGTAGATCAACAAAGTACACTGTTGAGGGGAGCAGCAGGCAGGTCAGGAGAGGTCTGCCATGTGGGTCACCTCCGGGTCAGGGCTCGAACTCACATTGAAGCTGCTGCAGTTAGCTTGCAGTGCTGCATCCTAACCCTTTGAGACACTGGGCAGGGCTGAGGAATGTTTTTTAAAACTTTTTTTCATGGAAATCCTTAGTAAGAGAAATATTTTGCCTCCCTACCACACACACACACATACACACACACATACCCCAAAAGCTTTGCAAAAGACTAAGTATTTCTGCAACTTATTCTGTCTTGTATCTTTCGAGAAAGAATGCACAACGGTTTAGGACACAGCACTGCAAGTGAGCCGCAGACACTTCAGCATGAGTTCGATCCCCAGCCCCAGAGGTGACCCACATGGCGTGGCAGACCTCTCCTGTATCCCTCGCTGCTCCCCTCAGCAGTGTACTTCCTCCATCTGCCTGTTCTGCTCCCCACTCTGTCTCTGGTGAACCCTCTCACCACCGCTGCACCTCTGGCTTGTACCCCAGTTCTGCATGCATAAATAAATAAATCTTTAAAAAAAAATACTTTCAGGCCCTCCCTGGTAGTACAGCGGGTTAAAGCACAGCACTAGGAAGCTTAAGCCACTTCCACATGAGTTCGATCCCCACCTGCCCCGGAGATCCACATGGCTTGGCAGACCTCT